GCCCACAGGACTCACGACATAGGCTGCCCTGGGGAACATCTCCCAGACACCCGCTGGGCAGCTCCAGAGATTAGAGCCTGGTTGAAATTTCAGTGTCCTGTAACAGAATCTCTCCTGATGGGGCTTCCGTCCCACACAGGGGACTGTTTGGGACACATAAATCCTGGGAGGGGCCCCACAACGAGGAAAACAAGCAAGGAGACAGTGCTGTTATCTGTCCACAGATGAGGAGGAGGGAAAGTAGCAATGCCGTCTCTCGAGCAGCCCGTTGGCAAAGCCAATGGAAGGCACCTGGATGTGGACTCAACCTCTGAATTTCCCCTGGTCTGGTGTGACGCATCCTTTCTGCAGGGCCCAATCTTTTCCTTCCATGGTTGGACCCAGGGGAACTCGAGTACTCTCTCCAAGAGACAGCTGCCAGCAGAGGGCATGCCCAGACTATGGTGGCACAGAGGGCTGGGCCACGGTTCCAGAGCACTCAGCCCCGGAGTCTAAACAGGGAACAACACTGGTGGCTGGATGCACGCAGCGGCGGGGGCAGGGCTGGCCTTCCTCCCAAGCACCAGGATGCTTTTTCCAGAACACATCCCTCATGTAGTCCACCCCAGCCACTATCACCCCTCCCAAACATCCGAGAAAACGCCAAGCAGCATTCTGAAGGATGAGAATTTGTGTTACTTAGGTTTGACCTTCCAGGGTGGTTCCAGAAACTGCTTCAACACAAAGGCAACCTAGGAAAACCTTCCTAAATAAGAAATGCTCAGCGTTTCAGAGGCAACTCCCCATAAGAGGCCAGTCCTCCAGGCTGTGCTGTGGAGAGAAGAGCCAGCCCTGCCTGGAACGTGGCTGCTGTTCGGAACTAGTTAGCCCCATCACGAGCCAGAGCAGCCCCGGGGCCTGATTAATACCGTCAGAAGTCCAGGTGCACCTCACCTGTGCTGTGCTCGGACCACCACTGACGTTTTATAAAACCTCCAGGGTGAAGTCTGGAATTTAAAAAATAGTAATGAAAAGGCCTCCTGTGGCCTTGGCAGATACTACTATTCCATGAGCAAAACTGACACATTTGATTTCAGGAGAGACACCAAAGTTAGGGCCGAGAGAAGCAGAGCTAACTCCAGTTTCCTCCCAAGCGAGAGCAGGAAGGCACTGCCAGGCTGGGGCGCTGGTCTACCCCAGCGAGACCCTGACCATCACACAGGTGAGCAGGCCTCCTGCAAAATGCCTCTTTCAGTTTGGCAGTGCTGCCCATCTCAGGATTCAAACCTCAACCTCCTGGTACCAGCCCATCTTGGCGCTTCTCCCAGGCAGTCAGGACTAGGCACAGGCTGAGGACCAGCTGTGAGAGGAGGAGCTCCCTGGGATGCGGGCAAGAGCTGCCCGCCTGCAGGCGGCCCAGCCGGAGCGGTCTCATCTGAGCACAGCTCTGCGGGGCAAGACAGAGCTCCCTCCAGACAACCCGCAGCTGCTCTAACCACACATGCACACACCTCCCTTGTTATCTGGGATCCAGGAGCCTTATCCTAATCTTTGACTATAATACCTCTGCAACCTAAGGGGCAGGGGGGAGGGAGGAGAAAAAATACTGGGGAGGAAAACACAGCCCGACTCGGCACCTCCCCTGGAGCACAGGAGCCTGCCCCCGCGCCAGCCTGGACTTCCTGGGGCCGGGCTCAGGACGTGTGTTGAAAACAGCAGCTTCAAGCACCTGTGTGTGTCCGGACGTTGTGGCTGCAGCCAAGCACCTCCCCTGCGGCTCCTGCAGCAGCTACTGGCCTCCATTATAGGCATAATCGGCCTTGTTGTGCATTATCAGCTTGTTGTCAACGAAGTAGAAGCTGTCCGAGCGGGTCTCATAAGGGTGTTCAATCATCAGTCGAACTACAAGTCAGGAAAGGAACAAGTTAGGAGTGAGTCTGCTCCAGGGGCTCAGTGAGAACAGCTTAGTGTCCCCTCTAAAAGTCACTAGGTCAGGGAGATGCATGGAGATCGGAGGGGCAGCATTTGCACAGGGAGAAATGTAGGGAGGCATGAGTGCATGAGCAAGGACTCAGGGAAAGGGTAACCACAGGGAGGAGGGGAGGGGAGATGTCACACTGTGGGGAACGTAACCAGTACCTCAAACACAATCTACACACTAACTGTTGAATATAAAACTCATCTGCTTGGCAAAAATCTCACCCAAGTCACAAAGTTAAAAATTTCAATCATGAATAAATAAAAGTCACTAGCTGGCCCTTCTAGGAAATGCACGAGTATTCTGCCAGGATAATGTTGGCACAGAGGGAGACAGCCCTTGAGAGCCGGGAGAACTGGTGAGGAGAGGCCTCTAAACTGAACATGAGCTCAACTTCAATGTCAGAATGCAGCCCACGCTCTGGCACGGGCCTCCCTGGCCCTGTGCAGCCTGGGTGCTCACTGTCTGCACCCAGGAAACATGCTCACCCGGCCGCCCACAGGGACCACAATGGCCGACTCTGCCCTCGGCTGAGCAGGCTAGCCCTGGCTTCTGGTCTGTTTCTCTACTTTCCAGACATTTCAGTACCAACTCAGACAGCTGGGCCTCACTGCGTCACTTCCCATGGCCACCCACGACAGCTCGAGAAATCCTCACCGACAACTCAAGAGGGGACAAACGCCAAGGAGTCTGCCCCAGAGATGGCCGAGGGCGAGATCCCAAGCAATCCAGCAACAGGTCTGCTTGTCTCAGGGTCTGAATTTAAGTCTCGCTTGTTCAGACAATCTCCCCGGCCTCTCTTACAATGCCAGAAAGTAAAGAGAATTAACAGTCACCACCTCTGAGCTGTTCTAACGATCACATGCTATATTGAGTTCTCTGGAGAAAAATGCTATCCTTCAGACAATTAAACTAAGAATTGAACCCACCCAAGCCAAGCTATATTACTTATATCCAGAGTACCAAAACCAAAGCAAACTCACTGCCATCAAGTCGATTCTGACTCACAGCGGACGCCCACTGGGTTTCAAAGGCTGTAAATCTTTATGGAAGCAGATGGCTTCATCTTTCTTCCACAGAGCTGGTGGTGGGTTCGAATTACTGACCTTTTGGTTAGCAACCAAATGCCTTAACCACTACACCATCAGAGTTCCTTATATCCAGAATGTTGTTGTTGTTGTTATGTGCCATCAAGTTGGACCTGACTCGTAGTGACCCCTCCTTGGGTTTCCGAGGCAGTATCACTATGGAAGTAGATTGCCCAACCTTCCTTCCGAGGAGTGGCTGGTGGGTTTGAACCGCCAGCCTTCTGGTTAGCAGTCAAGTGCCTTAGGCACTATGCTACCAGAGCTCCTATATCCAGAATAGTGATCTCTAAATTCTTTTAGCTTATTTGGCATCAAGATGAAAATTATATTCCCTTGAGTAAAAACTAGTCATCTACACAAAATTTTTTCTGCCAAGTACCTACATACCTGGGGAGCCAGGGTCAAGCTTGGGTCAGACGCTGTCATAAACAGCCTGCCCCGCATCTCAGCCAGCCTCACTCTACCGGGAACAGCAGTGCCACCAGAGCAAAGGCTGGCTGGTTTCCAAAATACGACCATCTTTAAGGATCTGGGCGGGATTCTGAGAAAACCAGCCAGTGTGTGTAGATCCTTCCCCACAACCCGACTAAACCCCACTGCTTTTCACAGGACACCACTCGCTCACACCCACATCAATGTTCTGGAGCAATTTTGCTAATTACCACAGGGGACGTGAACCTGAGACAGCTGGACCCAGGTCACGGAAACAGATGGCAACACAGCCTGTTCTCCCGAGTTCAGCCCATCTCTTCCCTCACCGGCGCTGTGCAGCAGCCTGGCCCCGAGCTTCGCCCTAGGTCTACCCGCACACAACTACACGACCGCTCTTCCTAGGATACTGCTTCGTCACTCACTCCTTCCGCTCCACAACCGACAACAGCACCCCATTTCCCACTGCATCTACTGGAACAGTTTCTCTAACCACTCTCAACCGAGAGAGGAGGGCCCTCAGCCCTCCAATTCCATTCAGCCTGCAGTTTCACAGGCAGCTCTTATTAAGGAAAAATGTGAAGGACTAAGGAAGAAGCCAGTGAGTAGAACCCAGAGAAAAGCAGGATGAGCAGGACAGCCGAGAGGGCTGTATCTCACTGGAGTCCCAGAGATGTCGCAGGCCTCCTCTTAGCTCCCTCTCTCTCCCACAGCAGGCACTGAAGAAGGGCAGCCTCCATTATTAAAAGCCCCCAGGTTCCCACAGGGCAGACTCAGAGTTTGAAGGAGAAGACAGGAAACAGAAAGCCTGAGGCCAAATGACCAAGTGCATGTCACGTCACTATTTCTCTCATGTGCAAAACAAGGGCGTTGGAACACATGGAGAAGCCAAGGCTCATTCCTCCGAGCCCTAAGAACCTAGGGGGAGGTGCAAGTTGGGGGATACGTACTGACATCCTCAGAAAGCTGGGGAAACTCATAGATGTGTTCGCAGGTGTTCCTACTGCTGGGGATGCAGAAGCCAAAGTCAAAATCAAAATTTTTCAGCAAGCGTTCCCGGAAATAGTGCCGTTCGATCATCCGGAAGTTTGACACAGGTTTCTCTCCCACCGTGAACTCCACCCTGCAAGACAAATCTTTGTGAGCCTACTTGCCGTGTTCCCTCCTCTAAGCCACCCTCAAACGCCACCCGAGAGCATTTTCTTCCTGCACAAGAAAGCCCTCCCTCAGGGATACCAGTACTCACGTAGCCCCAACTGTCCGCAGGCGCAGAAATGCTGGTGTGAACTGATAGCGGACGAAACGCCCCGCACTGACATCCACGTCTCCACCCTCCTCCTCCTCCTCCTCTTGATCTGAAAAAGCACACGAGACTTGAGTGCACCTTCCTGGCCCCACGGGTCCAAGAGCTCCACCATCAGGCCAGGCAACACAACCACCAGTGACCGGTCAGCTGGCCAATACTTACTGCGCACTTGCTGCACGCCAGGCCCTGTGCTAAACGCTTCCAGAATCCTCACACAAGGTGCTATTAGCACCTCCATTTTAGTTAGGGAAGCTGAACCGCAGAGAAGTAACGTGTCCAAAGTCACTCAAACAGTAGACGGAGGGAGGTGGAATTTATTCCAGGGCCCAAGTGACTTGAAGCCTGTTCTGAAACTCAAAGCTCTTTGCCTTTGATGTAATTTGGGGGCTTGGGCCCTGCCCTGAGGGTGAAACCTGGAACACAAGCAGGGCTTCACCTTGACACGGTCTGCATTAGACAGACGAGGCCTGCTGGTGACCAAGTGGAAGTGCTAGCCACCAACCAAAAGAATAAGATGATAAAAGTTGGAAGTAGTCAAAAGGCTCCTTCACTTGACAGGCAGTGAAGACAAACCACTAGAAGTAATTTTGTGATTTAAATGAAAGACAATGCCATAAGATTAAAAACAACAATAATAACAACGACAAAAATTAAAGACAATGGCCTACAGCCTTGGGGTTCTGTATTTCCTTGGACTAATGGCTATTTGGGGCCATACCAGGCCCAAAGCTCTGACCACCTAGGAAAGCGTGAAGCAGGTGGGCAAGGGATAACGGGTGGTGCCTGTGTGAGGCTCCACAAGGCAAGGATGCCAGTTTGTCCAGTCCATCCCCAAGCCAAGGAGATGAGAGTTACAAGATCATCAGACTACTACCAAGGTGAGCACAGACTAAGTTCGTGCTAGGAACCATCCAGTGTCCAACGAAGATTTTTTTCTCCAGGTCTAAACTGAACATGTTGCTCTGTGCTGTCGAATCGATTCCGACTCAAAGAGACCCTATAGGACAGAGCAGAACTCCTCACAGGGTTTCCTAGGCTGTGACCTTTACAGGAGCAGATCACCAAGTCTTTTCTCCTGCAGAAGCGGCTGGTGGGTTCGAACTGACGACCTTTCAGATAGCAGCCGAGTGCTTCACCACCGCACTACCAGGATGAACAATATAAAAAGCCCTTGTCAGCATCTAAACATCTCTGCCCCTGTGACAAGCCTAAGAGCAAGTGGGTAACCAGACTGAGTAGGGGTTTGTACCCAGGGATCTAGAGCCCTCGCTCCTCCGATGCGATTTACAGGGAGTCAGGTCAAATCCACACATGGATTCAGATTCATCACAGCAAGTGCCAAAGGAGGCTGCTGGTTCGGGATGGGGCTATGCTGAGCGAATCAAGATCCCTAAGGGTAAAGACACTTCACAGTATCTACAGCTGCTCCTCAAGATAGCTCACTTTTGTACTGCAACGACTACTCGGAGCCCAGTCTAATCCAAATCCACACACCTGTGATAACCCTGGGGCCCCTGAAACTTTCTGAGGACATGTGACTTAGGGGTATAAACACCACAGACCCAGGAAGCTGGCTGGCCGTTGCCCTCCCGTACATAGTTAAGTACTCACTAGCTCGAGCCTTTAGCCACCCTCGTAAGTACTAGACGTGACAGCATGGAAAATACGAGTAGCCTAGACTCTAGTCTAGGCTGTTATTCGTCGGAGCCGGGACTGGAGGGAAGTCTTTCGACTGTCCAGGACAGTAATGCCTGGCTCATCAAATCTGGAGGCGTTTTTAAGTAGCAAATCAGAAGAGAATAGCTCTATAAGAAAAAAAAAAAGTCATTTCAGACAACGATTGATACTATGAAGTGTATCTGCACTGGTGTTCTAATAACTGATTAACTCCAGGGGGCGCTATATCTCCAGTGATAGCTCCAAAGACATACATGGTCTCCTAGAGAGAAATGCAGCTCAGGTAGAGCAGCGGTCAGGGCATATGGCTGCTAACCAGAAGGTCGCAAGTTTGAACCTAACAGTCATTCCACAGGAGAAAGACGTGGCAGTCTGCTTCCATAAAGATTATAGCCTTGATCTCTACCTATGAATTTAAATGTGCTGCAAATAAATCCATGAATGTAGCAGGGTACACAGGGGAAAAAGTTATAAAAACATTTTAATCGTGACCAAACACCTTGAGGGAATGAGTCTCTGGAGACTCAGGAGCACAGTCTTGGGGGACACTAAGGTCAACTGTCCACCACCACAATGTTCTGCAGCCCACTTTGGTGAGTAGTGACTGGGGTCTTCAAAGCCTTTGAGTGTGTACAGTGCTGCATTGTCAGTGATGGCAAGCATTGATCCATGGGTGGACAGATGGGCAGACAGGCTGAACGATCAGGTATGTCTAGGTGGGGTGGAGGGGTGCCCATGACCATGTATAGGGTGCAGACGATGTTTTCACATGCGTATTTGTACGTGCTGTATGTATGTGCAGGTGTAGAGCTGACAAGGGGCAAGGTTGTGGTGGCTTCTTGGCTACAGCCAGCTACCCAGAGGGAGCAAGTAGTTGGACCTGTGGGCTTGGAACCATGGTCACAGGGCACATCAAGCTCAAGTGGCACGACGTACTACACAAAAACATTGTCCTACATCCTACTTTGGTGAGGAGCGCAACTGAGGTCTTAGAAGCTTGCAAGAGGCCATCTAGATACAACGATGGGTCTCTCCTCGTCCAGAGCAAATAAAAATGAAGAAAACCAAAGACACACGGAAATAAATCAGTCCAAGGGCCTGGTAGACCATGTGATCCTCAGCCTATAAGACGATGAGACCAGAAGAACAAGATGGTACCTGGCTACCACTGTCAACCACGCAGAGGGCGATCGACAGAGTAGGAGAACAATGTGGAACAAAACACAAAATTATTAAAAAAAAAAAAACCAGATTTGCTGGTCTGATGGAGCCTGGTGAAACCCCTGAAACTACGGCCCTTAGTTACCCTTCAGGTCTGGAACCAAACTCACTCCTGTGTCTTCCAGCCAAACAAAAGACAGGCATATGGGATGAACATTTACCTCAGGTAGATACACTCCATGGAGAGATCAATTGTGGGAGAACAGAAGGGCAGTGCTTGCACAGGGAGACAGCTCAGGGGACAGGAGTGCATGAGAGGGAAAGACACAGGGAAGAGAGAACTATGAGGAGGAATGGGAAGAGAGCTGTTACATTGTGTGGAATTACAGTCAATGTCATGAAATAAAATGTGCATGAACTACTGTATGAAAAATTAAAATGAATTGCTCTGTAAACTTTCACCTAAATCACATTAAAATTTTTTTGAACTTTTTAAGAAAAGCTTGTGACTGGCCATGTAAGGTACAACTGCATAGGTCTCTCTCCAGCCAGAGCAAAGAAGAGTGAAGAAAATCAAAGATTCAGGAAACAATTAATTCAAAGGAACCCTAGCTTCCATGACCCTGAGACCAGAACTAGATGGGACCTGGGTAGCACTGCTAACTGCTCTGAAAGGAATCACATGGGGATCGAGTGGGGGAAAATGTGGAACGAAACGCAAACTCGTAGAAAGACCAGGCTTACTGGTTTGATGAAGACTGGCTGAAGCCCTGAGACTATGGCCCTCAGACACCCTTCAAGCTAGAAACTGAAATGAATCCCCATGATTCTACTGGCAGCCAATCGACAGGCCTGTAGGGTGAACAGTACTCTCAGGAGGGGATGCACTCGTTACAACAATCAAGCACATGAGATCAAGAGGACAGCATTTGCCAGGGACAGAGCTAGAAGGCAGGAGAGGTGGGAAGGAAGAACAAAGGGAAGGGTGGCACAGGGAGGAAGTGGGAAGAATGTTGTTACAGTTTGGAGACTGCAGTAAATGTCACAAAACAGAATGTGTGTGGATTGTTGAATAGAGAACCATTCAACCATTTGCTCTATAAACTTTTACCCAAATCACAATTTTAACAAAAAAGGATTACAGCCTTGCAAACCCTACAGGGCAATTGTACTCTGTCCTATAGAGTTGCTATGAGTTGGAATCGATTTGATAGCAGTGGGTTTGGGGTTTTTTTGGTTTTAAAGGGAAATGAATCACCTTGGAACAGCATCTAAGCACAGGAAGTGCCTATTCAAGACTAATTTAAGTAGATGAGTTCATGGATCTGGGCTCTTTACTCTTCCAGAAAATGATGGAGATTCAAATCCAAACCAAGACTCAGTAGGAAATCTGAAGAACTATTTAAAGGAAAGAGGAGAAGACTGGGTGAAACTGCCAGTGGCCTAAACTAGAAATCTCAGTGTCTCCCTCCCAGAAGGTCCCAGACTCAAGACTCAGGTGAGCTTTCCTCATTATTGCCTGTTTTCAAGGATTCCTTTTCTAACTGGAGGCAACTGATCCCATGAAAGAGCAGAGGACCACAGGAAAGTCACTTGGAAATTCGGAGCCTCAGTTTCTTTATCTGTAAGATGGGGATGACAGCAATTCCTCCCAGAAGTGTGAGGGTCACATGAACTGATGTGCACGTACAGTTGTGTAATGCAGTGACCAGCAGAGAGTAGATACTCAACAAACACCAGCCTCCCAACACAGCTTCTGACAAGCACGCCTGACAGGCCATCAGTCTTGCCAATGGACAAAGAATGCTTGGGTCAGGAGGGAGGTTGTGGAAGCGGAATACACCGGAACCCATGGCACCCTATGCAAGGGCATGCAGAAGTCAGAGCCTCGGGCACCTTTGGCTCCGACTATAGAGCGAGTGCCGTGATATCAAGGCCTACCTGAAACGCACGGTTTGGCGATCTCAAAAAGCACTGTCCCTGTCTCCAGATCGCGAATCTTGAAGCGAGTGAAATCAATACTGTAGATATTGTCTTCAGGTTTACATAAATAATCTGAAAATGAAAGGGATCAATGTTGTTAAAGAATTCTCTAAATTGTTTACTTTTTCATTTATTTCTTTGCTTAATTCCCCAGTTTTCACCCAAATTCACGTTTTCTTTTTATGTTGTTGTTGTTGTTGTTGTTATTTGCCATCGAGTCGGCCCCGACTCATAGCGACCCCTCCTTGGGTTTCCGAGGCAGTATCACTACGGAAGTAGGAATGCCCAACCTTCCTTCCAAGGAGTGGCTGGTGGGTTTGAACCGCCAGCCTTCTGGTTAGCAGTCAAGTGCCTTAGGCACTATGCTACCACCATGTTGTCCCAAATAAAATTTGTGTGAAGAGAACTAAAGGATCCAAGAAAGAAAAAAAGCCCATGAACAGGGCTTGAATGAGAGATTGTCCTATTTTATATTTTCATATCTTAGAAACAGGACGGGAAAGGAGGATTTTCTTGGGAAACACCTCAAAATGGCCTATAAATCTTTTATGATCTATAAACTTGTCCCAGAAGAACAGATCATTTAAAACCTATTTTAAAACACTTACACTGATCTAATGACTAATATAGGAGCCCCAGTGGCACAGTGATTAAGCGCTCAGCTGCTCACAAAACGATTGTCATTCTAACCCACCAGCTGTCCTGCAGGACAAAGATGTGACAGTCTGCTTCTACATAGATTTCTAACTTTGGAAACACTACTGGGTTGTTCTACTCTGTCCCATAGGGTCGCCATGGAACAGCAGTTTTTTTTTTTTAATGGATAATATAAAAGGACCCCTGGTGGCACAACGGTTAAGCCTCAGCTGTTAACTGAAAGGCTGGCAGTTCAAAGCCACCCAACGGCTCTGTGGCAGAAAGACCTGATGATCTTTTCCTGTAAAGATTACAGCCTAGAAAACCCTGTGGGGCAGCCCCATTCTGTCACATTGGGTCAGGATGAGTCAAAAATCAATTCACTGGCACCAAACAACAACAACGAGAATTATAGCACTTGTTTCTCAACCAGGAACACTATAAAGCAGGAGTCAGCAAACTTTTTCTGTAAAGGATCAGACTGTAAACCTTTTATGGTATCCGTCAAAGCCACTCAACTGGGCTGCTCTTGTAGCATGACTGACCCAATACGGCCACTGCAATATCAATGTCATATAATTATCACATCTCACAAAATGTTGATTTTTTTTAACCATTAAAAATGTAAAAATCATTCTCAGCTTATGAACTGTACAAAATCTGGCAATGGGCCAGGCATACACAGGTGACACTGGCTGGATTTGCCAGCGGAGACATCAGGTCAAAGCGAGCAGAGCCTGTAAGAACCTGAGCAGCTCATCCACATAGCGCTGACCCTAGACAACGTCGTGAGTTACGGACGAAGATTCTCCTCCACTGACTCCAGACAGCACCTTCTCTCCACCACTCATTGTGGCGTTCTGTCTTCACTGCCTTCGTGCGATAGTTGCTTCGTGTTTTACAAGCTGTCTCTCCAGGAAGATGGCAAACTTGAAAGCTACTGATTATACCTCAACTCTCAAAAACCCACTGAGAAAATGACCCACATCACTTTAGTTTTGTGTATTTCACTGTACAAATATTGTATTTCAAGAAAATGTATTTTAAAAAACAAACCACTGAGATTGTTTCTGCGCCGTTAGAAACCAAAACTCACTGCCATCAAGTCAACTCTGACTCACAGCAACCCTATGGGACAGGGAAGAACCGCCCCACAGGGTTTCCAAGGCTGTAAATCTTTACGGAAGCAGACTGCCCTCTCTCTCTCTCACGGAGCAAATGGTGGATTTGAACCGCCAACCTTTTGGTTAACAGCCAAATGCATTAACCACTATGGCACCAGAACTCCTTAAGAGAAGCTGAATAGAACAGACATGAAGAAGAGGAACAAATTTGAGAAGTCACCAAGCTCTGACCTGCGAAGTAGAGTGTGGTGTTTCCACCAGTAAGCTGCAGGCTGGTTTTGGCAACAGCACCAATCTCAAACCCCAAAATAGGACTCAAGCACCCACCTGGAATATACTGCTTAAGAGCAGTGGGAGAAGGGTTTAACTCACCCTTGATTTTGGGAGAAAGCATGAGGTTAGAGAAGTCAGGCTCTGAATATTTCCGTACTTGCAGAACCCCGAGTGACAACTGGATCAGCACAGAAGCTGCTTATTCACAGTTTCAATTAAACTGAAGAGCAAGACCCTCTAAAGATACACCTGGGCATGCAAAGGACAACCTGAACCCAAACAGAGCTGAAAATGGGGACGGCAAAACATGCAGAAACAAATTAAAACCACTGCAAGCACCGGGGCTTCCCTTCCAAGCAGGTTGGACCAAGGCCCACTTCCCCCAGACCCTCATCACAAGTCACTGCAGCTGCCGGCAGCTCCCAGAGGTACCTCAGCAACCCTGGCCTGGCCACTTAAAGCAGTTCAGCAAGGGACACTGTGGCGACCTTGGTCCATTAAGGTGTTGTACCCATCCCTGCTGGGGTTGCAGCGTTACAAGTTGGGACGTGGGGGGATGGGCAGGGCAGGCCTGACCAGGTGACCGCAAACTCCCGGGGCGGGGGGGAAACAGCAGCAAAAGAAGGCCCAAGTCAGAGCTCGGCTGGAAGAGAACAGAACAGGAAGGAGATCCAGGACAGGGTGGGCGATAATTTCTTCCTGCCTTTCTCTAGAGCAATGGGAAGGTGCAAGATGGTTGCATTTCGTGAAAAACCGCAATCCTGAAACCCTGAACACAATCCTCAATTCCCCAGAACAAATGTCAAACACAGGAGTCATATTTTCAGGTTTTGTCTATGAACTGAAACTTTTGTGTTTTTAATGTGGCAGTTTTAAATGTGCACGTTTGAAGAAGGAAGAGCACACCTGCGCGCGCGCGCACACAGGCAACGCCGGGGACATGAAGGGGGACGAGAGGGGCCCAGGCAGGCTGCCCGGGGGGGAGGGGCTGTCACGCCCCGAGGGAAGCGGAGCGGGAGACAGCAGGTCGGGGTTCCGGCCTGGCACAGGGCTGCGGAAGCTGGGGAGAGCGGCTTGGGCCTGGCTGAGCTCACTGCTGCTTAGAGGGGTTCCAGACTGAGGGGACAAGGGACCCACTTATTAGGGGGCCGCGGCCCCCGGCCCGCTGAAGTGGGTGCCCTCCCCAATCATGTGCAGCTAGGATCAGGAACCCGGCAGCCTAGGGGAAGCGTGGCGTGGTCGGCCTCCGGGAACGCGCTTACGTCCAAGTCGAGCCCTGAGTGAAGGCGCGGGAGGGCGGACCCCGCCCGCGAAGCTGTGGGACGCGCGGCCAGGCCCGCGAAGGGCCTGGGGACCCTGGGGCTAGCCGCAGCGGGGAGCGGCCGGGCCTGCTGACGGCTACCAGAGGCCCAGGCCCGACGCGAGGGGAGGGCGCGGCAGGCCCTGCACTCACTCTCGGTGACCCGGCTGAGGCTCAGGACGTGCTCGGGCCGGATGGAGTCCAGCGCCAGCAGCTCCTGCTCGGTGACCGCTGCCCTGTTGCCGTCGTCGGCCGCGTGCTGGGGCGCCTGCCGCCGCGCCTTCAGCCGGTTCAGGACGCCAACGCCCGCCTTCTTCTTTTCCTCCTTGCCAGTCACCAGCCCCCCGGGCCCAGCCGCCGACCCCGCAGCCACAGCCTTCGGGTTTGGTCCGTTCATCGCTCCGCCGCCAAGATGGCCGCCGCCTCCACCGAGCGGTAACTATGGAGGCGGGGGCGGAGTCCCGGGTAGTACCTGGGGCGAGGCGGGGCCGAGCAGGGGGCGTGTCCGGGAAGGGGGCGGGGCGTGACCCGAGGGAGCGTGGAACCGCGGGCCTCTTACCAACCTTGTTGTTGTTGTTTGCCGTCGAGTGGTCCCCGACTCATAGCAACCCCTCCTTGGGTTTCCGAGGCAGTATCACTACGGAAGTAGGATTGCCCAACCTTCCTTCCGAGGAGTGGCTGGTGGGTTTGAACCGCCAGCCTTCTGGTGAGCAGTCAAGTGCCTTAGGCACTATGCTACCAGAGCTCCTTAGTACGCTCCTAAAGACACTCCAAATGTTTTTAAAATATTTTATATCGTCAATTGACTTTTTATCATATAAACTGAGGATAAAGCATCTTGGGAAAATTAATCTTTAGCATACAATCTAAGTTAAAACAATACTTGCTATGCAAGATAAACCAAAAACCATTCTCAAGTTGACCGTAACTTATAGTCTCATTGGGTTTCCGAGGCGGTAAATCTTTATGGAAGTAGATTGCCCCATTATCCTTCCAAACAGCTGCTGGTGGGTTTGAACCACCAGCCTTCTGGTTAATGGTCAAATGCTTTAGGCACTGTGCCACCAGAGCTCCTTGTCTAGAAGACAAACTGGTCTGTGCTAAGTGCTATAAAAGATATACAACAAAAGCGTTATTAGAACACATTAAAACCAAAACCAAAACCTACTGCCGTTGAGTTGATTGCGACTCATAGCAACCCCGTAGGATGGAGTAGAATTGCCCCATAGGATTTCCAAAGAATCTTCACAAAAGCAGACTCCTACATCTTTCTCCCACAGAGGAGCTGGTGGGTTCAAACCAATGACCTTTCACTTGGCATCTGTGCACTTTAACCACCGCACCAACCAGAGCTACTCACATTACTGGTTTATTCTGACCAGGTCTCACCGAGGGCTTGGGGGTGGGAGACATCTAGAAGTTAATCATGATTTTACCAATTGGAGAAGGTGGGGGAAAGGCGGCCCTCTTACAATCACAGTGGGGTCACAGAAGCATCTGGGCCTGCTCCTTCCCTAGGGATTCTGAATTCACTCTTCTGTGTTGGAGAGCTGTGACTAACTGAAGCCAAATGTGCCTGCAAGGACGGATGTCACCGCTCAGCCAGCCTTATGTTGTTGTTAGGTGCCGTCGAGTCGTCTCCGACTTAGTGACCCTATGCGCAGCAGGACACAACACCGCCGGTCCTGAGCCAGCTCCATGATTCTTGCTATACTTGAGTCCATCACCACTACCACCATGTCAGTCCATCTTGTTGGAGGCCTTCTCCTCTTTCGTCGACCCTCCGTCTTACCAAGCATGACATCCCTCTCCAGGGACTGGTCCCTTCTGACAACATGACCAAAGTATGTGAGATGAAGTCTGGCCATTCTCGCCTCCAAGGAGCATTCTGGCTGCACTTCCTCCGGGACAGACTTGTTAGTTCTTTTACCAGTCCGTGGTGCTTTCAGCATTCTTCGCCAATAGCATAGCTCAAAAGCATCAATTCCTCTTTGGTCTTCCTTATTCATTGTCCAGCTCTCACAGGCATATGAAGCGATTGAAAATACCATGGCTTGTGTCAGGCACACCTTAGTCCTCAAGAAGACATCTTTGCTCTTCAGCACTTGAAAGAGGTCCTTTGCAGCCAATTTGCGCAGTGCTGGCCAGCCTTAGGCCAGAGTGAAATGCCCCCTCCTCCCACCACAGTCAGCTTTGGTCCCTCTAACCTGGTGTGGCCTAAGGCATTTGACTGCTAACCAGGAGGCTGGCGGTTCAAAACCACCAACCACTCCTCAGAAGGAAGATGGGGCAATCTACTTCTATAGAGATGCCGCCTCAGAAATCCAAGGAGGGGCCGCTCTGAGTTGTAATCGACTCCTTGGCAGTGGGTTTTTTAACCTGGTGTGAGGAGCTGGGACAGGCCTGAGAGTCCCAGCCTGCATTCTGGACCAAGTCCAAACCTGACTCCACCCTTGCCGCCCAGCTAGGTGGAACGTATGTGGCCAAGTTCATACCTGAATGCTGCCCTGTCTTTGAGAGATTAAAAACCACTGGGTGGCACTTACCAAACCTTTCAGAGAGATTTTGGTAAATGTGTACAAAGAATAAAAGTCATGCCCTTTGCAAATAGCTCTTTTTAAACCACTCAACAGTGAGTGGCTACTGAAGAATTTCTGGAACTTTTAATGCTACTCAATTAGGAATGGCCAAGAGGGGGATTTAGCTTGTTTCCCACACTCACTTGCTCAATGAACTTTTGTTCTCAGAGCACCAGGGCGAGTTACCAGCCCCCCACCCCCAAACACCAGCTTTTTTCTTTTTAGGGATGAAGGCAAATTTATCCACTCCTTCACCTGCAATTGCATATCCAGGAACTCAGCCTGCATGTAAACAAAGACGCCCATTGCAGAACCATTTTTAACACTGAAAAATTACAAATAAATTACAGTTGCATCCATGGTATGCAGCTGTGGAAAAGATGAGGTTGATCTCTGTGCATGGATATGGAAGGATCTCAAAGATCTATTAAGTGAGAAAAAAGCAAGTCACAGAATCCCACTTGCTTGAAATAGAAGATGTGTAAATATCTAGATGTGTAATTGTCACATCAGAAGCCTGGATGTACATGCAAGCGGCGACTGTGCTCTCCTCTGGGGAGGAAGGTATGGGAAGGGTTAAAGAGGGCTACATTCACCTTTTACACTATTAAGAGCTATTGCTGTACTATTTTAACACAAGTATAGGATCGTGGGTTGCTTGTATAGTTTTTTTAAAAAGACATTATCTTGGGATCTGTGTCTGGAAGGTGGAATCTATGCCAAAGCAGCTTTATTTTCTCTTAAAATTTAAAAGCAAACTTGATCACACTTTTCTGCTCAAAAAATAAATACTGTCATGTGAGGGACTCAAGATCTGTACTCTTCCTGGTCACTGTGAACTGTGGTTAAAAAAGAATAGACTATGGGAGCTCTGGTAGCATAGTGGCTAAGGCACTTGCCTGCTAACCAGACGGCTGGCGGTTCAAACCCACCAGCCACTCCTCGGAAGGAAGGTTGGGCAATCCTACTTCCGTAGGTTTGACTCGACGGCACATAACAACAACAACATATCTCTAAAGAAAATTTTTTAAAAGGGGGGGAGGGGTTTAGGACAAAATAGGGCTGTAACCTCCAATCTGATTCCCCTCACCAGATCTTCCTAAGGGGTCTTTTTAAAAATGCTTTTTGAGCGGCCAACAAACATATGAAGAAATGCTCACGATCATTAGCTATTAGAGAGATGCAAATCAAAACAACAATGAGATACCATCTTGCTCCA